TCAAACACAAGACCTCTTGGTCGCAGAAGGCTCTGATACCATGTCAAGAACCAGTTTATCCCAATAACTCGAGTTGTTGGGAGAGGTTCAATCGTGGATCATATACCGCACACTAACAGTCTCCCGCGGCCGCCGAGTCCAGTTCAGGAGCTGCGGCAACGGAGACATCAGGTTCTCCCGTTGAAGAAGAAGCAGCAGCTAAAGGGTTATATATATATATGCCTTTGCATGCATGCAGGGTGGATACATATGAATAAAAATAATATAATTGATAATTTGGGACACTGCTAAAATTTGAAAAATATTATCCTACTCTCAGTAGTAGTTTACGTATGATTTAAATAAATATAAGTGATAATCAATGTTATTCATACCAGGGACATACTATCATTAAACATATTCTCTATTAGCTTGCAACTCATTTGTTGTTAAATTTGAACACTATGTAATAGTAAAAATATTATTCCTTATTCCCAAATATTTTCAAAATCTATCAATTAAACTAATTACGTGCTACTCTTAATTTGAATTGATTTTATGGTTGCACTGCACGTGTTGAAAGACTCTTTTCAATTTTGAGTTACATCAAGAATAATGTTAGAAATCGAATATGCGATCCGTTCGTGAATTATTGTCTAGTAGGATACACATATTTGTTGATCCGTATGACACTTGATTTTATATTCTTTTCAGAATATGAAAAACACGTCATGGCATTTTACTAAAATTTGTACTAGTCAAATATTTTATTATGAATTATTTAATTTAATCATTTAGTTTTTAATTTAATTTATTTTTTTGACAAGGACACCCCTATAAAAAATTTCTGGATCTGCCACTGCATGCATGCATGGTTTGAGCTAGTAAGCTTTCGCACGTGTGTTTGTGTACGTGTCTGTTTCAGTTTGTGGTTAATCGTGGTTGTTTCTGTTCGTCCGTTGTTGTTTTCACTCTCTGTTTTTAAAAGGACTACAAATGAATGAATAAAACTAGCTTTGACCCGCATACTGGGCGGGTCAAATTTATTAGTGTTCGTGAAATTCACTATAAAAATTGTCATTAGTGACCAGAGGATTTGGTCGGTAAAGGTCAAATTTCATCGCAATTTTGTTTTTGCGATGTCATGGTGCCGTCGAGCTCCGTTCCAAATACGAGCGTCACAAATAGTTTGTGTGTGACAAGCAGTCAAAAAATATCATTTGTGCCGATATGAGGTGGTTACTATAGTTAATGGGTCATCGGTGAAGGTTTTCCACATTGACGAATCTGAAGACCACACACATTTCTGACAACATTTTGCTATATTCGTGATCGAACTAAGTCGTCCCTAATTACGATTTGATTATTGAATTTTTTTTTTTGTAATTTTTTTACGGTTAAAAGTATTTGGAATATAATTTATGGAAAACCTGCCATGACTAATGTTTTTTGTGACAATATATTTTTTACGTTCCCATCTATTATATTTGGCAATAGATATCATGTGAATTCATTGAAATTGTCGAAAATGAAATAAAATAAATAAAATCATATATATTTTATTCATCAACTATGAAGTTAATCATACAGGGTGAATCATATACAATTGAGTATCCATCTTTAACAACTAGTGTTATTAAAATCGAGCCGAGCCTGCCGGCCTGACTGATAAAACCGTCACCCGGTCATCAAATCGGTTCGGAACAGTTAAAAAAATGTGGAGGCTCTTTGTAGCGGTTGGACTGCGATTAACCAATCGAGCTGCCCGACCAGTGCCACCACCATTCCGCCCGCCCATTGAAAAAAAAAATACAAAAAAAAAAGGATTTCTAGATCCGCCTCTTCGAAGGAGACTCCAGCCGGTGCTCTCTTGGGCAAGCCACCCATACGCCGGTGAGAACTCTCTGCTCCCTTCACTCTCAATCCTCTGCTCCGTCGAAGAAGAAGAAGAAGAAGAAGGGCTATCTGGTGGTCAAACTCCAATGGCTTTTCAACGATTTTGTTTAATTTGGAAAGGAATTGATGTCGTTCTCCAACAATGGGTTATGCGGGCGACTAGGGTTAAAACTTAAAAAGGATTTAGGGATCTCGTGTAGGGTTGGCTATTTAGTTTGGAATTTTTGGTTTTACCCGAAACTTGACCGGATAACCCGGACCGGGACCAGACAGGGACCGGATAGCAAACAATCCAATCTCATATTCGGGTTTATATTTGAGGTAAAAAAACCCGGATAAAGACCTGATAAGAGACCCCAACACCTAAAATCAAGATCAAATTGGGACCAGACCGGGTAAAGACCGGACCGGATCAAGACTGAACTGTATCCAATCCAATCTTTGGTCCTTATATTCTCGAAAAGACCGGACTGGGACCAGATCAATTTGGTCCAATTTAACCAGACCGAACCGTATAGCCACCCCTAATCTCGTGATTGAGGGTGGATTTAACCAGCCCTTTATATCTCTTGTGTTTTTATTTTTGTTTTTGCTGGGGAATGGATTGATTAATGGCAAAGGGTTTGTTAAAGGGTGGAGTCGAAAAAAGAAGGGTAATGTTTATTTTTTGTCCAAACCTTTTTTAGATTTTTTTATATTATTCAAATCTATCGAAATACTAAGAATTAGCCAAATGTTAACTTTCAGTTAGCAATTTTGTTAGTAATATTGACTTGACAAAATGATATTTGACTTGGAAGAGACACATGAAGGTCAACATTCCAAAATTCTAGCATTTTAACTAAGAAAAGAGTTACAAAATTATTAACAATAACGTAAAAATAGCTAATATTTTGATGCATTATAAAAGATTTGGTTAATTAATAGAATTTTAATAGTTTTGGATAATATAAAAGAATTAAAAAAAATATTTGGATAAAAAATAGAGATTACTCAAAAAAGAAAGAAGAATGAGTGATTGGAATGGTGGGGAAGGCGACAAGGCAGATGGGTAGATGGGGAAGATTTTTTTTAATTTAATTTAATTTATATTAATTAATATAACAATCCAGAAAAAATCCTAACACTTTCTACTTAAACTAATATGTGTAATATACCGCTCGATCTTTCATACTTTGGTATTGAATTTATGAAAATTTGTCACTTTTTATGTTTTATGTATGTTCGGCTTATAATATCCATGTTTGTAATATATCGATTTTTTAACAGCTTAATACCGGCTGAACTGGTAAAGTACGAGTCGTTCATTATATCGGCTCATACTTCGGGTCGGTTTTGACAGCATTGTTAACAAATAACAACATAACCTTTGCATTTGCATTGAAGGTATATACATTGGGCTTCTAAAAATGTATATACATTGAGGAACGGGAAAAAAAAAAACAAAAAAGTACTAAATAACTATTACAAAATGACAAAATCACTGATGTTGATTGCTTTAGCCTTTTCGTCACCTCCATCAAATGCACCGGATTTTTTCACCACTGTCCCTTTGCAAAATCACTGTCACAAGCCTAAATCAAGAACAAAAATAAGTTAGGAATAGAAAAAACATAGAGAACATACATATTTTAGGGATGGAGACACCTTTCAATTAGAGAACGGACCAGATCTGCTACCACTACTTCATAAGGAACATATCTCATACTTTTTGGGAGGATCGGAGCGACGAAAGCGGCAAAGGAGGTGGGAGTGCCTCCATCAAGAAGATGAAGATTTGCGCTGATGGAATGTCAGGAGCGTCGATAAAAATTGTGGAAAAGGAAGCGATGCACTGCAAGATGTAAGTGAATGTGAATATAATTCCACATGATGCAATTGACTAAGAGAAACGAGAAAGAAAAGCCATTGGATTGAGCAATCTATTGCTAAATCCGTAGGTGATATTTAACAATATGAAACAGTTAAACCACGATTAAATTATGACTTTTGTATAAAATACTCTACTATCAACTTTTCGATACGATTTTACAATCATTTGGTTCAAATCATTTTTTATACTGGTGCAAACAAAAAAAATTAGGCACATTTTGAAGAATCTAAAGCAAAAAAAAAACATAAATGAGTTAGCGATAACGAGAATATGCGATCCCATTCAACCCAAATGATACTTTGCAACTTATTATCTTTTTAAAATAAATGTATGCTACTCATACTCTCACTCATTCATCAACTTAATGAGTAACATATATTTCATGTAATATGATTTTCATAAGTTTCATTTGTTGAATTATTTCATGAAAAAAAAATGGTCCATGAAAATTATTACATTATTGCTAGACATGTCTGCGATCTGAGAATAATTTGGGAAGTCGGTACATAACACATTGTCCAACTAACTATTAGCGACAACTTAACATCATGTCCTATATATTTCAAATCAAACAACTTCAGATTCATTACCAATTGTGTGGTAAAAAAAATGCTCTCTATTGGGAAAAACTTAAAGGACATACTAAACTCTATGAGAGATATTTTCTTCTATACTAAATGTTGATTATGTATGTATTATGAGAAACAACTCTAATATTGACTATATGGTTTAATTAAATAATGAATGACGATTAGTTATATTTATTTTGCTTTTCATTCAGTAGTTATATGTAATGCTTATATAATTTTTTTCACTCTTTTCATTGAGGTATAAACACATTATGTATAGTTGAATCACTTTCAAAAATGTTATGTGCATAGCTAAAGAAAAAAACAATAATTTCATACATTTTAAATAATCTATTATATATATAATTATAAATCATATTTCTCGACAAAATTCTCCCGGCCAACAACAGACATACATGACCCTGTGCTGGTTAATAAAAGTACACAAACCCTCAAAAATCACAATCTTTTGGATTCCATCAACACCACGTTTGCCTTCCCTTTACAAACTATCTTCAGCTCCTAAACCTGGCTAATCCTTTTGGATTCCACTACAAATTGAAATTTGAGCCCAAAAGTTTCAAAGATCTCTGTACTTAGATTTTGTAAAATCAAACATTGGCTCACTCTTTTTCCTGACCAAAATCAAACATTGGTACTCTCTCCCCTCTCACTGATCACCAATGCTCACCAATGTTTTCTTGAGTACAACAGTCTTTGACAACATCTTGGAGTTCACTGACGATCCAACTAAACCGCTCACAAGTCCCACTAGATATGTGATACAAGCTCAAATCGGATGGACTCCTCCACCGATAGGATGGACCAATTAAACTCAAGATGGGGCATCACAAGGCAACATAGGTACAACAAAGGCAAGAGGTTTACTATGAGATTCATATGAGAGAAGGGTCAAAGGATTTATCTTCAGGATAGGCAGTATCACATCAATTGTGGCATAAGTCTGGGCAATTCATGAAGGTCTCACTCTAGTTTGGAAAATTGGACAAAGACGTATCATTCTCGAAACTAATTCTCGGATAGCTATTGAGTTGATATCCCACCCTACAGATCTTATCCACCCCCATGTTAGCATTTTGGATGCTATCAAGCAAAAGTTGGCTCCGGGATGGTTGGTTCAGATTCTTCATACGTACTACGAGGAAAATAGAGCCGCGGACTTGCTCGAAGCATAGTCTCATCTATTCTTTTGGGTTGTATGAAATTATGAACCCTCTAACTAAACTCCAACAGATTATTTTTGAAGACATTGAAGGAGTGTGTTTTGCTAGAAACATTGTAAACCAGGACTATAGTCCTGGTACATCCATCTCTCGCTTCCACCTGTAACTCTACTTGCCTTTTCCTCTTGAATCAATAATAATAAAAATAAAAATAAATAAATAAATAACGTTATTCAGAACTCTTACTCGTCTTAAAGATTGAGGAAGAGAACAACTATAACAAAACAAAAAGAAGGGTTGAACTTCTTAAAAAAAAAAAATTAAAAATAGAAACAAGTTCAATTTCGAAACACTGAATTAAGTGACTCTCATTAAAGTCCATCCATTCAGTGAAGTTGCAAATTTGTCATAGACACCCTAAGTGCCGTCTTACGATTAGGAACATCTTGATCAGTTAGGCAAAGATTTACCTTCGCCATGGGATAGAGTTATTTCCTTCTTTTATCCCATCTGTTTTAAGTTATGGAGCGAAATTTGGCCCTAGTCAATGCAATCATTCAAAACTTTGCTCCTAAAGGCAATAATAGATACAAAATACAATCAATATGGCAACTATTCCTATCGTCCGCAACTCTAGTTCTCAACAGAAGACATGATCCACACAACCATGAAAAATAAGTTGAAAACTAAATTACAAAAATCTCCTGATCTAACCCGAAGTTACAGCTTCAGCAGGCCGTATCTTGTGGCATCCACTCCCATGCACCTGTTTATGTTGGATTCATTCACTATATGTTCCTTCTTCATAGCTGCAGAATCCCAAGAACGAAAATCCCCCACGACGACTTGTTCACTCATAATTCAACTATAGCTCCGTCCAAAAGTAAGAGAGTTCTGAAAAACAGTATGCTCCATCATTCTCGGCATTGGAGCTATCCAACATTGCATTTCTCCACTTCTTGATATCACCACCTTGCAATGCAAAGAGACCAGATGCCAGCAGCTGCAGCATACCCACTTCGGTTCCGAGTCCTTCAGCATATAGAAAACGATGCATCCAGAAGAATCACATCTTATGCCAGTTCTGGTAAGGTTGCTTCCCCCACTGCTTCAACAGATGCATGCAACCAGCTGATGTGAAGAGCCCAACTGATGCAAGTGCAATCATTGTCGAGTTCTCAATGCTCTGGTAGTATCCTCTTTGCACCAACAAAAAAAGTATGCCTGCATTTGCAGGAGCTAGTGAAAGTGCGATCATCCCTCCACGTAACTCGTTCGGCACATGCCTATTTCATAGAAGAACAAAGACGATCAAAAACAGCTAATAATGACTAGTAATCGGGAAATAATATTCGTCAGTTTAGGCAAACAAACAAACCCGACGAGAGATTTGTTAAAGCTTACATTGTCCTCAATCTTGCAAGAGAAGGTATGATCAGGCCCACAACCGCATGGAATAAGCAAAACAGGGACACCAAAACTGCAATTTCCTGCATGTGTAAAGAAGCAACAATGACAAATACTGAATATCAGAGAGAGATTTGGCGAACAATTATAATGTATTGAGGAGATTCAACATTTAGTACCTGGTAATCATATGCTATTACAGACAAGGAGATTCCCAGAACGCTATATGCGTATATGAGACAATCCTCTGTACGAAGAGATGAAGGACCGGTCAATAGCCATGGGAATATTGTGCTTCCCAACATTCTTGCACCCAACAAGCAAGGATAAACCAAACCTAGATGTGCTTCTCGTCCATCAGCCTAATCTAGCATGGAAGAATAAGGTTAAGCTTTAAAACTTGAAATCTGTTCAAGATCATAAATTCCAAATGCAAGGAGGAAATGTTTATTCATGCGCATAAGAGTCATAAGAAAAATGGCATAAAACAAGGTGATAAAGATTAAATCTGAGATATAAGGATAAAGAAGTAATCATACCACTACAGTCGGGGCCCACAAAATCCAAAAAATAGCAATGGAGAAATGAAGAGAAGCATGTGCAAATCCCAGGAGCCATATCCGTTTGTCTGGCAAGAGTAAATTGCATCAATAACTAACAGGCATATCATGTTTCTACGAAGATACAATGGAAACTATATATAAGGAGTGAATTCAAGCAAAAAAGAAAAATATAACATTTCCCTCCTCCCAATGATGATGTCCGGGAGTCTTCTATTTAAGTCCTACCGAATCATGTTATCGGCCATGCTATATTAGATAGTCCTATATATCCAAAAAGTGCTGGTAATTAAAAGCTATAATCCGCAGAAGATAATAATTCTTAATAAATGTGATAAGTTGTCTAACTTTGAAATCCAAACAGCATCTGATGTAGTTGAACAATCAAGTTAGAAAACGGCATTTCAGGAAGATAACAGAAATGAAACCCAGTAGAGCAAAAAAAAAAAAAAACTGCAGGACTGTATTAATCGACTCCCCGAACTAGAAGAGAGAACATCCATATTTCCCAAGTTACCAATATGGAACCAAGAATCCTTAATAAACTATTATCTTCTTGTGTTTTCATTTCCTTTGCTGAAATGACAATACTACTGATGAACAAAAATGACAATACTATCTTCATGTGACCTAATACTTGCTATAAATCTCAGAGAAAGGCGCACAGAATGCAAAAACTGCTATGCTTCAAAGTTAGAATGTTCAACCTAACCAATCTGCCTCAATGATGTAAGTTGTTAGACATTGCCTATTATCCAGTCATTGCTTGACTAAAGTGCATTCTGCATCGTCAGGCTAAGAAAATGTAACGGACAGCAAGTTCCAGATGAAGCTTGAATTGGTACCTTTGAAAATATGTGCATAAGACACATTATAATCTTTGGCTACTGTAGCTTTTGGGGTTTCCTTCCAGCCATTGCCGACACTGATGATGCTCATCACTGATAGAAAGATGGCTGCAGTTGATGGAGATACCATACCTTTCCCCAAATTACTTCCGAGAAGCCAATTGGCAAGCACTTGGCTCAGAATTAATGATACAGACTCGAAGAAAGTCATCAGCCAAAAAGTGTCGCTCAGAGTGTCTTGCCTGAATCCTTGCTGCAGAGGCCAATCATTGTCACGATATAACACAATACTAACACTGCAAGCAGAAAGGGAACACAGCAAAATAAAAATAAAAAGGCACTCATCATATAACACCTACCTTCTCATTTTCGACCACAAGCATGGCCTCGAAACTGAAGGAAAATATTGAGGTAGCAAGGGACAAACATATGCTTGCCATCCAGAGACTTGGGTGAGGTGAAATTTTCTTCCACAAACCAACAAAGAGATGCAGAGTGCAAAAGATCAAGCAGGCTTTCTTGTGACCACTACAGGAAAGTGAGCAACAATGAATTCCGTCAGAAAACCTCTGAATCAAGTATAACTTGTAAGCCATAATGCAGATCATATCTACCAGAGTATTGCCATCCATATTTTCACAAATATCAGACTAGAATGATGTATACTGAGCCTAAAAGAGATTATCTTTTTCACTCCCATTAGAATCAAACAAGTAAAAAGGGGAAAAAACAAGAACTTTGAGCTCACATTGAATCAGAAACCATTCCCAAGCCGGTACCAACAGTCAGGGCAGCTACATAACCGACACACAGAGACGTCACCATCTGCTCCTTACTGACTCCATGGAATGACAATTCGTATTCTCCAAACACCGCCCACAACCCTTCCATGACTGAAGAAACCCCACAAATTCAGTAGATGTCAATTAATGGGCGTTTACTGAATTGACATTGTTAATGTACAGAAGGGCTGACCTGAGGCTAGAGAATAGATGAGCAGAAACTTGCGCTGGAACCGGAGGAAAGCAGAGGAGGAGGAAGAAGCGACATTGTCCAAGGGTCCAGCGGATCGACTACCCTTGGAGGCTTTAGGTAACAGGCTAATGGAGAAGACACAGCAAACGAAAATGAAGACAAAGAGCGAAATATTCGGCAACCAGACGGAGCTCTCGATTACCGCCAACGCCATTCTCAATTAGTCGAACCGATCCTCCGGTAGAAAAATTGAAACCAGAACCCTAAATATTCAGATCATGGAATTGAATTCCAATAATGGCCCTTCTGAGATCTGATCGGTGGTGAAATTCGTCGGCAAGAAGATTTAAGCATTAGAAGATAACAAGAGACGCATCTCCTCCAGAGAAGGAGCTCGGAAGGAAGAAGACTGAAAGATAAGCAGAATGATTTTTAAGTGATCTTCCTTAGTTGTACGAAAAAACTTAACTAGCCAAATATTATGTTTGATCCAACACTATTATAATGAAGTTAAAATTTGTTGGTTGTGGGCTTGTGGGTTAAACATGATTCTCAACTCAGGTTGGACCAGAACGGTCTCATCGGTTCAACCTGGACCAGATAAATCACCGGGTGCCATGAACTAGTTGGCTATCAATTCAGATTCGGTCAAATCCGATCAAAATCATAAAATCTGCCAATCGACTCATCTTAGACAAAGAAGAAACATAAGAAATGAGATGAAGATGACATGTATAGATTTTGTGCGAGGGCGAGTTCCTCATTTGTATATAAAGTCGGAAATCGAATTGAAGGAGAAGAGTCGAGAAACATTGAGGATGAAGTACGATAAGTGAAGGACAAAGCGAGGCGGAGGAAATCAAACACTTATTCGAAATTGACACACTTGCATACAACAAATGCGCAGTGTGCTCTGCCTATCGTATTTACATAAACCTGGTTGTCAAAGCAGACTATATATATTCCAATTTCACTGTCAAAAAACTCTAAAGCCTCTACATCCAGATGCGGGAAATGGGTTGCTACACCCATATACAAACAATTGAGTAAAGAAAAATCATCCCACAGGTTTTGGTTGAATTTGCTCAAAATCAAAGACTTCAAACATGAGGCGCCTGACGTCTGGTTTCCCATACACGGTGTATGACAGCCCATGGAGAGCTTGTTGAACCGAGGTGGTGGTTGGGTTCTTCATCCTCCGGTTATGCTCGTATCTGTCTTGGACCTGCTCGGCATAGACCATGAACTGGTGCAGCCGTTTCTCCCTTAAATACCTCCCACAGAACTTGTTCATCAGAATCCTCCTGTGCCTATCTGCCAAGAACTTCCCTGGAGCGTCTAGATGCTTCATTAACAGCCTCTCCGCCATAACAATGTCCTGAAAGATTATGAAACAATGCTTGTTCATGGGTTCATACCAGTTTCATTAGTTGTTTGAAATGAAAACCAAGGGCTTCGTTCAGCTTCGAGTCATTTTTAAGTTCCTTACTACTTACCCTAAACAAACACACCTCAAATTTATGTACAAGAGAACCCAACATTACCTGAATCTTTTGGCCGACATACTCTAATCTCTCGTAGCAAAATCGAGGATGTTCAAACTTGTATTTTGATGGATGCAGGAAACAAAGCTGCAATGAAGAAACATATTTGAGTGAATGTCATGCATATATATAATCATTTGGACGCTGGTGGTCCATGGTTACCTGCAATCCAAGCCCGAGTTCAATGTTCCTTGCTTCAGTAATATCCGGAATTCTATCTGTCATCTTCAAGGGATATCCAAGGGTGCGCATAACGTGGGGTCTGCTTTCGTAATCCCATAAGTTACCTCTGAACCTGTGCATACCAGGTGGAACACACGCCCTGAAAAGCCTCGGATGTGCAAACAGTGCATCTGCTGGAGGCTGCAAAGGAACCAATGTCAATGAATCAAGTTTTAGTTTTTTTTAAAAATGTCTATGAATTACCAGTGACAAAATAAAATCTTATTGACAAAATCCAGCAGGCAAGGTAGAGCTTGCCTTATAAGCTGCCACATCTTGCCAACTCAGCTTGTTTCCTTCAAATTCAACAGAAACATAATCAACATCTTCAAGTTGTCTTCTTAACTTTGGCTGGCAATCCTCCGCTTCAAGATCCATCCCAAACACTTCAAAAAGAACACGGTACACCTCTGGCATCCCAAAACACAAATAAATTGCCCCAAACAAAGCCCAGAACACTGACCTGCTCACAGCGAAAGGTATTCAAATACTCAAAATGAGTATGCTCTACAATGCATGCATTCTATTATCAACCAACCATAAGAATCGTAATACCAAATCCCAATTCTGCTTATCAGTAATGATTAACAGTAGCTGCATTCTACATCCCTATTGACAACATAAAGCACTAATCTCTGCACTTTATGCCAAGAACGATGGAGAGAGTTCAGAAATAGATATTATACCATTCATTTTCAATACATAGCCCTCCCATTCCCGTTTTCACACCCTAATACAACAATCCTTTGACTGGTATTAATTATTATACCAAATGAAAGAAATCAAATAGTGCATTTTCGGGCCTCATCCACAATACTAGCCTACTGTAATACACAGAGTACAGTTCATAAAAAAGCATACAGAATCCGAATATGGGGCATGAATAGCAATAGAAACAGCAAATTCATTCCCGATTTTACCATCATATCCCAAAACAACATGCAATCTACGTAAGAAACAAACATTTGAGATACCCCAAAGAGAAGAAAAACTCACTTGACCGGCTGCTCTCTTTCATTCCTCTTCAACTTATCAATATCATCGTAAGGGAAAACCAAGTTGTGCAAGCTAGCAGCTTTAATCCACTTAGCCATATTCTTCTTCCCAATCAACCCATAAACCCTCTCCCTCATCGGCCCAGGAGACTCCCTGGGATACCTCTGCAAAAGAAACTCACACATGGCCAATTCAAGCACATACTGCCCCAAGAACCACAGCCTGGAATGCCCTGACCTCACATGCCTGGCATTCGTCCTCTCGCAGCTGGGATGCTGGAAAGCCAAATACAGCAGAGTATCAAATTGCTTCGCTGGGTTATCATCAGCGAGCCCTTCCGACGGCTCCAAAGGGTACCCTAAAGCCTGCTTGGCCTCCAGCAGGTACTCGTCCATCCAAGTCCTGTCGGCATTGTTCAAACGGGAAGAAGGCAGGCAAGAGCTCAGCAGAGGGAACTGCTTCAGGGACAATTGAGGGCTGTTGAGGAACCTCTCGGCGAGCTTCTTGTCGTCGAGCGGGGGTTTTAGGATGAAACGCTTAGGCGGGAGTTTCTTCTTCGGGGAAGTGAATTTCTTCCGCTCTTGAAGCTCTTTGAGAAGCCGCTGGGGGCTGTTCTGCGGGAGCTCCTGTGACTCTAGTGCTACGGCGAAGACGCGGGTGGCCTTCTGGGAAGATAATTTTTTAGTGGGTAAGTGAAATTGGAGTGGGAATGGCGAGAGGGAATGAGAGAAGCAGATTTCGGATGATCTGGGGAGGGGAGAGGTGAGGGAAGGGGAGAGTTCCATTGATGGGATGGGGAGAAGTGGAAGTTTTGGGTTTTGGGACGCAGGCTGGGGAATGGGGGATAAGGTGCGAGGCTAATGACGAACAGAAAAGCTGCGAGCAAAGGCTAACAATTCGGTGCTTATGGAGTTATGGCCTTGTTGTTGCTGTTGTGCTCGCCTTCCGTATCCATCATCCGGTGACCAGTGGAGATCTTTTCAGTACAATTGTCTGGTGAAATGATGAGTTTCGGAGACGAAGAAACAAGTCCATGGGCTGGCTAAACCAGATTTTGTGATATAGACTTTTGAGGTGTAGGCCCAAGAACAGATATCCTGACATAGGTTAATCAGAGGAAGGCCATATTATACGGAGCCCAAGACTGGGGTCTGGCTCAACCCAATTTCTCAAAGGGGGGGGGGGGGGGTACCCATGCAATTTTACGCTTTCCCTGAATTTGGTTAAAAACTTAAAATAAAACCCACAGAGTACCTCGACCCTAGAGCTGTCAAAATCAAACCGACCCGAGTAACCCATCCGGTCAACTCAATTTGTAACCCGACCGCAATCTGATTTGACTAAAAGTCAATAATTCGAAACCAGCCCGACTCATAACCCGATTGACCCGCAACCCGACTAAACCGCAACTCAATTGACCCGTAACCCGAGTACATAGCCTATAAGACCTGACTAATTAGATATAGTAGATTTGAGAACATATCATGAGTTATCCTATCCTAATAGCATTAGTCGACTATCTCAAATGCATGCTATTTTCGGAACTTCTGATAAACAGCGCAATTATATGAACTAATTAGTTTACCTATTTTTAGGGCATTGAGTTATATAATTTGAAGGTTAATATATATGTAATTTCTTATGGTTAATAACTTATTTAACCATTAGTTACAACAATCACTTGCTTTAGAAAAATTCACTTAATTTGTCTACTTGTTTTGTATGCTTCTATGTTTATTGCAACTTCAACACTACATGATCGTTGTTTTACAACACTGAGTAAGACTTTGGCACATTTAAGTTGTGTTCGAATTGAATTTTGATTTCAAACTGAGGGTTAAACTTGGTATGTTAAGTCATACAATTGCACTAACTCAATCAAATAAAAGAATACAAAATTAATGTTGCACTTTGACAAAAAAAAACTAACTTTTGTAAGTAGTTGTACCTTATTAGTACATATATAAATATGAGGTAGAAATAAATTGTATAAAAATTGTGAAAAATGTTTGAAATCAGTTTAATAAATAAATTGTATATTAACCGGTAAAAACCGTTTACAAAATCGGTAACATTGACATATAATAATAAAAAAGATGATAATATAACATCATAAAAATTTTAATTTATTTTTCCCTAAAAAAGTAATGACAATTCATGAAATTATTTAAAAAGTAATATGATGACTACGAGCAAGAATTTTTGTGTCGCCGCCGAGCAAAGTGAAAGACGCATAATTGATCCTTAAATCGCCTACCTGAGTGAGATGGTTTTCCTAGTTAATTCATCACACCGGTTCATAACCGACAGGTCAGTTTTGTCTCCATTATGAGGCAATCAAGACCGGATGACTGCCGAAGCTGGTTAATCACGGTCTGAACGACGGTCCGGCCTGGATTTGATAACACTGGACGAAAGAGTGCGAAGGCTTCGAAAAACACTATTTGGCTACCACTACACACAATCCCACCTATAAGCCAAGTGCAACCTATAGACGGGTGTAGGATATGATAAGTATTTCAATATCTACTGGGGAAGTCTATCTACCCTTGCTTCAAATGTGCACACATTATCTAGCGATCAGTTTGTGGTTAAAGATAAGAAAACTAAACAAATTAAGCAAGCAAGTAAACTTTGGTGAATTCCATTGAGAAAGAATCACTTTAATATTGCTCCCTCTAGTCTCATGTCAAGATAAAACGAATGAAACTCTAGTATAGGATCATATATCATGAGGAGGTCACAATTAGCTAGGGAAACCCTAAATCTCTTGATCGATCGACTAAGGATTGTCACAATTAGCTAGGAGACCCTGGGCCTCTTAATTGATCGACCAAGGATTGCAAAATTACTCCCTCGGAAGATAATCCAGAATGGGGAAAAGTAACCAATCGACAGAAATTATGGCACTACTTCGATGAATGAGGACTAGCCTGAATTGCCTTAGAGAAGGTTATCCAAATTGCCAAGATTGGGCTATAAGGGGATTTTCTCCTTCTAGGTCAACTTGTCCCAAATTGAGATACGATCTACAACACCCAAATTCCATGAATAATACCTCAATCGTTATATAAATCACAAACCCAACACACATAGAGTTCAATTCCTACAATCTAACACATCCTAGACTAGGGTTCATAACATCCAAGTGAAATTGGAGAGTAAGCTAGAGGAGAAAATACAAATAAGATAGAAGAAAAACTCATTGCGAGTTGATCTTCCTTCTTATTATATGCTTAATTCAACCTTTGGAGAAGAAGTCGACATTCTTCTAACATTGGGTAGGTGAAATTCTCCTTCATTCTTCCTTAGCTCGTAACTCTCTCTCTCTCTCTCTCTCTCTCTCTCTCTCTCTCTCTCTCTCTAAACCTTGAAGAAGAAGCTCCAATATCTCTCCAAGACTCTCCTCTTTCAAATCAACCAAATCTCTCTTATTGTAGGTCTCGAGTGCGCAAATCACGGTCTCACATCACACCCGTGAAGTCGACAGTGAAACTATGATCTCGGCACAAAATGCGTTGTTTCACTAACGAACTTCATGGGCTGCTAGTTGACATCACGGTTTGGAGACCGTGATCTTGACACTACTCGCGAGCTGCAAGAATCCTCATGAAACCATGCGATCTTCGCGATTTGAGTGCTCACTTCAAGGTCTGTGTCCCGTGATAAATGCTCCGCAACCTTGATTACGTGCTTCACGGTCTTCATCCATTTTGCACAATTTTCGCTCTCTTTTGTCTGACTTTCGATCCTCGTGCCAAGATTACCTACTTAGGTTTGAAACATGACAAAAAACAACAAAACCCGGGTAAACTAGCTCAAAGGATGGTGCAAACACATCAAACGTTGCAAGTAAAGGGGTATAAAAGTGTGTAATCAAACCCGAAGCAACCCCCCCCCCCCCCTCTCCATCCCCCCCACTCCTGAACTTTTCCTTATGCCCAATCAAGCCTGCTCAAGCCAGTACAAATTGTAGGACAAAAACAATGGTATGCACTATCAATCGTCGGTGGTGCCTCGAGAATAATCAAATTCGAGTAAACTTTACTTCCATCTCTTCATGCCATGCACACTCTCGGTTAAGGACCTTGTCAACTAAGGAAGTTTAGACACTTCATGTGTGCACTGGGGGACTCATAGAAAACATTAAAAATCCAAGGCATTAAATTTTTCAAGCATTAACTTAAACTTACAATGCATGACACCACTTTGAAATCTTGAAAATCAAGGCATCTTTCCCTCGTGACTAAGAGTGAAAGGAACATTTCCTTCTCTATCAAGGCCCCATGTGGCGAAGATGATGGTCGTATTCGTTGCCTGAGCACCTCTTCCCAACCTGCACTTTCACTTCTCAACAACAGACGGGTTGCCACACATGTCGGTGCAAACGGGAGCCGAGGTCTCGTGGCTCGCTAAAACAGACTTCGTCTCTTGCCATACGAGCCCGTGAGGAGGAGGGGTGTTTGGGGGATGGAAGGTAGTGAAAGATAATCAGGACGCTAGAAAGCTATCCGAACAACATCCTCAATGGCACTCTGGACCGGGAGAAGAGCACATTGACGACTCAACTCAAACACTATGCATGGTTTCCTCTCACGTGAGAACCTCAATTTTCCAAAAAAAAAATAATTTGGAGCTCCTTTTGCAAAAAAATAAAAAAACTGGAGTCCTAACTTGGGAAGTCCCACACATATGTCCTAACCTCCATAACAAACACTTTCACACAACCGAGAGGAAATCGAAGTAAAGCCACTCATTATAAAAGATTCTCATGGTTCCACACTATTATCTATAGTTCACACCATCATAATCATCAAACAACTCTAAGCATACTGAGAAAGATCATGCTTGGGACAATTGTGATTGGAACCCCTAAAATTTTCAATTTCAAGCAATAATCTAGGTTCCAAAACACACAAAATGTAGGCCATAGACAATTCGTTCACACACATGTGCTTGGAGCCCTCAATTTTTTAAAATTTGGCCATTCATAGAGGCTCCAAAGCATTCATATCATAGGCCATAACATTCATTCGCACACTCACCTATCATGCGATCCCCCCCCCCCCCCCCCCCACGCATAAGCACAACATTTTCCTCAATGGATGAAAGATTAGGAGGGTAGAACGAATTTATCGGATTAGGTGTGAATAATGGTTAAGGGACAAGGAGGACGAGTGAGAATCGAAGGAGCAAGACAACATCCGCACACCACAAGGTCCCAAAGGTTGTCTTATTGAAAGGAAAAGAAATGCAAGTCATAGTTGTTGTAGTGCCTCCCAACAAGTGCTTCTATAACATCATGAGCCGGACGGTGATGCTTAAGCCTCGGTCCATCCCAAAACCTCCTTGAATTTGAGGTTCTCGTCGGTAATGTAGAGTTGCAAATCACGAGCATTGGATGCTTCAAATGGTGTAGATGGCTCATGAACTTTGTGTGAAGTGAGGCTCCGCGCACGAGACCTCTTCTTCTTTCTTTATTCATTATTCTCTTTTCCCCACATCATGTAGACCTCATGGATTAACCACCAACGTATCCACGAAGAGGGATCGATGATGGTTTGGCCTTGGCTTGGCAAAGAGCTGCAAATGGGTCTTTCTCGAGTAGCGCATCAAGGTCGGTTGGAAACCTTTGGTGGCACTTGTAACTTGTATATGCTTCATCCACCACGACCTCGAACTCATCTCTAACACCCTATGCATCTTCAACCTCAACCTCCCTTCCTTCTTTCAAAAATTTTCCCTTCCCTTGGGATTTCTCTTCTTCAATGCTCACTTCCTCCTCTTCAACCTCTTCTTTATCCTTCCCATCCATGACTTCAAGCAAGGTTTGGAGGGTGCGATGCCATGAAAGATTATTGAAAGGGTTCTCTTGCTCCTCTACCCTCGTGACTTGGCCTTCAAAGTTGTTCTCAGAAAGGGGAAAGGTGTGAAAGTCATTAATGCAACTCTCTTGGTCATCCTCACCGCGGGAGCTCTCGGGGGCGAGTTCCTCTTGCTCCATGCGGTTTGATCGCCCTTTCAAACTCCTATTTTCTCCTCCAATGATGGGAGGCGTTGGCTTACACAAGCTCGTGCCACCTTCTCTTGTAATGTCAAACCAGGAGGAGGGATGAGTTGTAAATCCATGTCGGAGCTCATCCATCCAAAGTATTCTTGGCTTGTCTCTTTGACTTCCTGTCATTCTTCAAATTGTATGGGGAGATTGTGAGCAAGTTGTGTACATTCTTGCTCAACAATCCATCCTAGCCTCTCCGAGTTGGTAGATCCACATTGGAGCATCCTTTGTCAGTGAACCGGATAAATTGCTCCACCATGAGCTCCTTCGCTCTTTGGCTCCGTTGTGGAGTGACATGATCTTGAGGAATGCCCCATGAAAGCTTTCATGCCCAACTCCAACTTGGATTTCACCTCGGTTTGTGGAGGGAAATCTTCAATTGGTATGGAGAAGTTTCTTGATATCCCCATTGGTATGGTTGTTCTTCTCGGAAAGGAGGTTGGTAATAGAACCCGAATCCTTGAGTCTCACCATCTTGATCGTTCCATGAAGCCCTAGGGTAACTACTTTCGGGTGGTGGTGGATACCCCCATACTTTGGTGAAATCATAATGATCCATGATTCGATACCTACACAGACAAAAACATTAAAAATAAAAGGGTAATGTCTATTTTTTATCCAAACCTTTTTCAGATTCTTTTATATTATCCAAACCTACTAAAATTCTATTAATTATCCAAAATTTTCATAATGCATCAAAATATTAGCCATTTTTACCTTATCGTTAATAATTTTGTAACTATTTTCTTAGTTAAAATATTAAAAATTTTGAATGTCGACCTTCATGAGTCTCTTCCAAGTCAGTATCATGTTTCCAAGTCAATATTACTAACAAAATTACTAACTGAAAGTCAACATTTGGCTAATTCTCAGTATTTTGATAGGTTTGGATAATATAATAGAATCTGAAAAAGGTTTGGATAAAAAATATACATTACCCAAAATAAAATCAAACAAACACAAACCACCCTTCAAGACAAAGAGTGTGCCAACAACACAAACACACAAAAACAAAACGACTGAAGTAACAAACCAAACCTTTTCCTGATAACCTAGAATGTCAGCAACAACAATGCCAAAAAATGGACTCAACTCTAATTACACCCAATCGAAGGCCAAATTTAACCAATGACTGGGTGTAGCAATGGATAAGAAAGTAATAAATTATCAGGCGAAAATATTGTGATATTGTGTTACATATTGTACACAACATTTTTCTATTGTTAGGATAATGTGTTGGAATTAGGACTGGAAGTTTAGTACTGCTATTTGGGATATACCGAATACCGTACCAAATTTGTCTATATTTGGTATTTCCGAATACACATATTATTACTTGGGATTGGGATTGGGATTCAATTTCAATTGTTATTCGGTATTAGTGATTACAGGATTGGGATCAGTATATACCAAAATACCGAACAATAGTGAAATATAAGCTAGTGTATATTTTATCCTCTCAACTATACTCTCTCATTCACTACTACACAACCCTCAACCACCAATCTATTGTTATTTTCATAATACCAAAAAGCGAACACTAGTATATATTAGTAATCTCTCAGCCTCCAATTCGTCAAATTAAAGATTACCAATGACAAAAACTTGAGATGTCACCTCTCCTCCATTCTCCTTATCCATATCCTAGCTCTAGCAAACTCATGACTCTTTGCTTAGTTTCTTTTTACTATATTAAATAATCAAATCTAATTTATATACTTAATTATTAATTGTAAAGGTAATTACTTTCATATTCGATAATATCGATTGGGATACCGAAATACCGATTGGGATACCGAAATATTTAGGGATTGAGATATCGAAATTATTTAGGGATTGGGATTGAGATTGATTTTAGAGTATAATTCGGTATTCGAGATTTTGGTATTTGGTATTGAGATACTGATACCGTACTGATTTTCACCCGTAGTTGGAATACATAACCCACGACAAATGTTAGAAGCATATCGACAATACTTGATATTGTGATATGATGTATTAAACAATTTACTTTTGGTGAACCAAAAAGAATAGTGACGAAATCTAGTGTTAATGGGCTCGAACCTTGCAATGTTGCAGTTGATCACAAAGTATTATGCTGAATTACTAATAATAGTTAATCCTTCTTCTTGAAGTTAAAGTATGATGCAAAGTATACTTGAGAATTCGTGTAAATCTTTGATGAGAATATAACAAAATTCCAAAATGAAGGATTTTTCTTGTGTTACTTGTTCTCAATGAAAGTTTATTATGATATCATCAACAGTCAACATAAGAAGTGATGAGTATATAATGTGAAGTTAGTGGATCAATGCACGATGTGGATCATTTATGTATTTTTAAAATTACAATCGATGCATCGACTAAATGATCATATATCTCCACATTCCACCTACCAAGTAGTGTATGCTTGGGGACAAGCAAAGTTCAAGTGTGAGGTATTTTTTATGAGACTATATTTATAGTGTTTATCATTCTCATTCTTGATACATTTTCCACTTCTATCAATGCATCTTTAGTTCGTTCTCTGATTTCTTATCTAAATAATAACTATTTGATCAATGAGTCTTAAATAGACATAGGATGTATTTTTGTACTCTTTGGTGCCTTTTGGTATGTTTATTTATGGTTTTTAAGGTACAAAGCAGCCTCAAGAAACTTGGATCAAGTACTAGACAACTTTGGAGGGCCAACTGAGCTATAAAGAGAAGAATATTAAGTATTCATGATAAAGGCAAGGTCCAATGACGGAGAAGCCAACTAGTAACCACAAGTAGAGCCCAACGGAGAAAGTCTCAACCCAAGCAGAAACAGAAACTAGCGGTGGCCCAACAACTAGTCCAAGCGTCTCCCATGGAGACCTGGTCAAAACTCAACCAATTCTTCAGGAGAGGTTGTCCATAGGCCATGAAGACCAGCTCAAGAAGAAAAGGGACCGCCACCAAGCACGAAGAGGCCCAAGCCCAAAACAATTATACTCTTCTTGCTTTACTTTTTCTTGCTTGTTACTAAAATGAAAACTCCTGAACGGTCCCTCTTGTTTCATGTGTCCTAGATGGTGTGGTGTGAGTAGTTATCGATTAGAAGCTCTTGTGGAATACGACCCTACGACATCCTAGGACTATAACTTCGTTTCTGCATTAGATGACCTATTTAAATATAGATAACATAAATTACTATTTATTTGGTCTATTATAAAGATTGATCCAGACGATCAACTATGAAGTTGATGTTACATTTATCTCATAAAATGTAAATATGAGAATATTTAAGAGAATTCTTTTCACTCACGAAATTCAAGAGAATTATAAAGCAACAAAGTTTGTTAAAAAGACTATCCAACATATTTGTCTATCTTATTACATCACACACATTGACTCGCTAAAACGCAATATCAAACTACGACCAAGTATAATTGTAGAATGGAAATGCAGTATACTGGATTACGGTTCTAACTGTCAACCTAGGGCCTAGATGTACTATCTACTCCGTGAATCTCTATTATTTATGGGTTGAAATGTAGTGAGGTGTTCGAAAACATATTAAATAAAAAAAAACAGAAAATGATATGCTTTCAAGAATGCAAAAGGTCATCTAGATATGAGTCCCCCTAGTCCGCAACTAGTTCAAATTATAATTTCCCAATTCTTTTCGATTGATAGATACACTGCGGAAAGTTCTTGACAAGTATGAAATCTCGACTTAAGTAATCCAGACCCTCTCAGTTCAAATACCTGGCGGGTGACTAACCTCCACCGGAGTAAAATAACCAAGGTAATAACACACCAAACTTCCACTACTGCTTTCAATTTCAGTATAGAGTAGTGAATCAATTTCTCGACTAAAGTAATCGATCCACTGCTTCCAATTAAGGTTGCTCTATTAACCAGTGCAGAGACTATTGTTCTAGGTTAAATCAGGAATCACAAAATTTTGATAAGAACTCATGCATTTATGATTAATGTCTCAATTGAATATATCAAATCAATCATTCACAAACGGTGTTCATACTACCATTCCTAAAATACGAAACTAGGGTTCGTCATACCCCAGATGAAAAAGGGAGTTTGCTCAATGGAGTTTAGAGAAAACACCAAGTTTGGAAGAGAAATTATCATGTGAGGAATGAAAACTTGCTCCAAGCTAGAAATCGGCACTCCGATGGTGAAAAATCGAGCTCCAATGTCCTTATATATCTCCAATCCGCTCCCAAGGTTGTTCTTCGTCACTTTCTCTATCTATGGCTCTCTCTAGATGTTTCTGAACATGAGGATCCCTTCCAATATGTCTGAGCTGGCCTAATATACGCTGGAAATTTGCGAGTAACGGCCAAAGTGTCGTAACTCGCTTGCCCAGCCCGTAACTTTTCATCAAACGACGACTCTTTCTACACTCCGTAAACCAAGAGTTACGGCTTCTAAGGAGAAGTTACGGTTTAGACCGTAACTTTGAGGGGGAGGTCATAACTTTAGAAAAGCTTCAGGATCCCTGGCTCTATTCCACTCAATGTTACGGGCTGTGTGGGGAAGTTAATCCAGACCGTAACTTTTTCCTGCTCTCTGCCCAATCGCTTCAAAACGTCCCAAAACTCGTTCCCTCGCATCCGTTCACAAACTAGGATCTGAAACATTATAAACCAACACAATCTAGCGTAAAATAGGCCACGAGAGCACAAATGCAGGCTTAAACGATCAAGAAATGACGGTAAAAATATGTCCAAATATGGTGTTATCACACATCATGTGAAAAGTCATTGGAGATCGATGACTCCAAAATGTTGATAGATCTCTCAATAAGAGGAGACTTTACACATTGCACTCTTTTTTCCTTAACCAAAGTTAGTTCCCACTAGGTTTTGAAAAGTAAAAGGGTGGAAAACTCTTGGTGAGAAGCTTCAATCGGCAGTTTCTTCCCCCTAACTAACTACCATGAACTGTGGGGTTAAATGACTCGGTGTGTGACAAGGCAATTGTGACACGTAGGAGGTGCAACAATGGTTAGAAACCATCCTCTCAATTGCTAGGCCAAGGAAAGCATTAGAGGCTACAATTGTAGCCCTCTTGGATCAAGCAATTGAGGATTGATTACCTTCTCCCTCAAACCAAGGTTTGGACGACATAATCATAATTAACCTAGGTGTCTAATTCAAGTTAGAGGTTATCCCTTCATTAACCTAGTTAGGAGGGCATTGAATGCCTAAGAAAACCCAGCTCAATTTGAGCCTCTTAAGATAAGGGGGCTTCTCTCTAAGCTAGGTTAGAATAGCACAATAGATTGACAAGCACACACAATGCACAATCACCATGAATTAATACCTCAATTCTTAAATTAAACACCACCATCACACAATCATTCAATCCACACAATCAATTACATGATAGAAGTTAGTGTTCTACAACATCCAAGTGAAAAGGGAAACTATTCCATGCTAGACAAAGGAAGAACACAAAGGATGAAGAAAGAAATCATCATTGTGATGCCTCCAACTCTCCTTGTGCTTGTAGAGATCGTCTATTGAAGAGGAACTTCCAAAATCTTCACTAGGAGCAAACCCTAGCCTCTTCTCCCTCTTGGTTCGTGCTTTCTCTCTCTAGGATTTCAAGAATAAGAATGTTTCTCTCACTTTGGGCTCCCCCTTCTTCTTCCTTTCATCTCTGAATTTATGGTCAGATCGCGCCCAGTTCACGGTCCCAGTTCATGGCCGTGAACATCAGGCCTGGACCGCGAACACAGATCAAAACTCGCAGCTTCACTTACGGAGTTCACGGTCCATGGCTCCAGTTCACGGTATTGGCGACCGTGAACTGCCTCGGCGTCGGTAACCTCTGAAACCCCTCTAGACGCTTCGCGGTTTGTGGTTCCAGGTCATGGCGACCGTGAACTCCAATGTTTGACTGCGAATTGTGGCTGAATCCTCCTCTTTGCCCGATCTTTGCGCCTTTTCTTTCAACTTTCGACTCTGGGGTTGGTTTCACCTGTTAGACTCTGAAACACAATAAACCTAACGTAAAACCACCCTTTTAGGAGCTCAAATGCCACAAACGTCAAAAAAATGGGGATAAAAAGTGTACATTTAGACCCGAATCAGAAATCTATATATAATGGAGAAATTCCACCATCTATAAAAATCCCACCAAAATAATTGACAAAGGAGATTGGAATATAAATGCAAGATTCTAGATCTTTAGAGGACACACAAAAAGCTCTTTTCTTTTCTCTTATCTTTTCTACCTATTCTATTTCTTGAATTGGCTATAACCTGTATACGAGTGTATAAAATAAAAGTGATGTTACTTATTCCAATCTCAGGGATAATTATTCATAACATGACATCTATCACAATTTTCCGTATATTTTTCTTCTCATTTTCTCTCATAAAATAACATTTTGTACTATAATTTTTCTCTTCAAATTTTCCCTCCACAAAATTTTATTCCCTTCCCTATTTTCTTTCCCCTCTTTGAAATAAGAGGATGTTGGGTTCTAATAACAATACAAAAAATTTAAAACGAGACATCCACGACTGAGCTACCAATCACGTGCTTACACATGCATACATAAATGATATGTTTGTTGAGCATAACCACACTTACAAATTCTGGCAACTCTTTTTTTTTTTGGATGACATCAACAATTTTTTCAACACAATTAGAATTAGACGTTACTCGAGTTCCCACAAACAACTACGATTTTTCGTCATCACACAACCTTGTCTTGTTGCTTCTCATCCTCTACAGTCCTTACTCAAACTCACGTTCATAAAAAGCCTTTGAGGTTTTGAGAACAGTAACATAATAGTATTACCATTAGCACTTGCTCTCGGTAGCAATTACTAATTTTAGCTTGCTTCTCTCTGCCTCTACTCTCTATCTCTTGAGAAAACAAGAAAGAAATGGGACGAAAATAGGAAGCAGGCCTCAGACTCGGAGGCCCACACCCAAGTGCCAAGTCTCATCGACCCCTCTCCTTTCTTTCTCTCGCTATTGTTTCTCTGGTCCGGTCTTGTCCTTTTCCTTCATCCAGCCAGCCAACCACAGAGAATTACCGAGAAGAAAATGGTGGATGCAGAAGCTCCCAAAACTCAGCTAAAAAGATTGAAAACTTTTGTGGTTGTGGATATGAACCAATCCCACGTGGATACCTAATACCTATTACCCGCCATTTAACATGCATCCATCTCATCTTTTCCCTTCTCCACTCTGTACTGTTATCCAGAAAATCTTCTTTCAGCCTAATCTTTATTTGTACGCACCCTGTAATTACATTCCATGCCAATGAAATTCCTATTTTTGATGGGTACCCATGAAAGGCCATTTTGGTGAGATGAGATTCCTTTATTGTAAGGCTGAGAATTGGAGCCCCCCCTGTTTTGTCCTCTTCTTTGAATGTGATTACCTTTGCAGTTGGGAGGGGAGGTGCTCTTCAGCTGCAACCATAATTGAGTGGTTTGAATAAGGGAGAGAAGGCGAGGGAAGGGGAAGCCAGATGTGTACAAAGAAGTCCTGCGAGATGGATGTTTCACTGCAACTACAACCCCACTTGGCCGAGTAATTGCAGTTAAGGTGTTTGATGTTTTGACTGGCTCAGGGGAGCAGCATTTGCTTTCTACTGCCATTATTAGGGAAAAGCCCAGATGGCGATATGATTCATTCTATTAAGTAGTTGTTCTCTCTCTCTCTCGCTGCCATGGTGGAGCTTGATGATCACCAGAAGGAAGTTGCACCACCAACTACAACAACTGTTTCTTTCAATATAGCATGTCAAAAAGGAAGGAGCTTCTTTCTGCTGCCATGAAGAGAACTAGTGACTGGTTTGCTTTCTACCCTTTTTCCTCTTAGTGGCTTTACTACGCAGTATATTTAATAATCTCTGAATCTTCTTCAACAGGGTGTTGTCGGAAAACGGCAGCCTCGGGTTCTTTAGTTTTACCTGTAATAATTTACTTATGGTTGCACCTCCTTTGTTATTCATTTCTCAGGATTTTCTCCCAGGAAATTTCCAGCGATGTTACAGTTCATGCTGGTGGAGCTTCTTTCTCATTGCATAAGGTACAACTGCGTTGAGCAAATGCTTCTGTACTCTTTGTAGTTTGTTTAATATCTGTAGTGCAATTAAGTAGTAGAGTATTGTTCAGAATAAGTTGGGCAGTTGAACCAAAATGGAAATACTGTGAATCTGAATTTTGTGATTTGCCTCAAGATCAAATGCCTCCATGCTAATCTTAAATCTTAACAGGCCACAAGATTTGAATTTGGGACATTTCTCTAAATTTGTGATGTTGACAACTTTCAGTCTCTCTACTGGTTGTTAATTCCGTATATGCTTTGCTTCAATTGCAGTTTCCCTTGTTGTCAAAGTCAGGCTACATAAGAAAGCTAGTGTCCGAAAGTAGTGATGCTGATCTATCCGAGATTCAAATCCCCGAGATCCCCGGTGGACCAGAAGCATTTGAACTCGCAGCAAAGTTCTGCTACGGAATCAACTTCGAGATAAGCACAGAAAACATTGCAGTCCTTCGATGCGTGGCAGAGTATCTGGAAATGACTGAGGACTGCTCAGTTGGAAACTTGGTGTCGAGAGCAGAAGCCTACCTAAATGAGGTGGTGCTCAAGAGCCTCACTGGGGCAGTTTCTGTCTTGCACCATTCGGAAAGCCTCGGCCATATTGCAGAGAAAGTGAAGCTGGTGAGCCGATGCATAGATGCCATAGCACTCATTACCTGCAATGAAACCCAATTCTCTATCTCAGGCAGGTCTGATGGTGGTACTACATTGGAGGCCCAACCAAAGCCTATAGTTCATTGGTGGGCTGAAGATTTAACTGTTCTCAGGATTGATCTATTTCAGAGAGTTCTAATTGCAATGGTGTCAAGAGGGTTCAAGCAGTATGCCCTTGGCCCTGTACTCATGCTCTATGCTCAGAAGTCCCTCCGAGGTTTGGTAAGAACTTTGCCATGAAAACTTTTGAGGGGTGATTTTGAATGTTGATTCTCGAAAGTGATAGATTTATAATAAATCCCTTGATTTTAAGAGTGATGGACAATGATGGTTATTGATTTTCAAAATTTTGTTGTTTGGACAAGAGTGCTTTATGAGTAAAAGTTTATAAATGGATTGTGACTTTTATAGATGAAGTTGATATGAATACCTTCCCTAGTCCTTTTAAGACTAAAAAATGTAAATAAATGATGACTGATTAAGCTTCAGGAGGATGAACTTACATAACTCATTAAGTTGAGAAGGTTTTGGAAATATGTGTGCACGGATTTGATTCGCTCGTGACTTTGGAAGTCGATGGTGTTGGACAACTTTTTTTTTTTTTTTTTGCCTCCATTAAAGAAGGGGATTTGCAGCAAAACCCTTTCTTCTCATGTATTTTGATGCTCAATTCCAGGACTTAAGCCGTATTTTCTATTTGTGCATAAATAAATTATGGTTCTGAAACTTTCCTTTTCCTTGATGGTGCAGGAGACATTTGGCAAGCCTAAGAAAAAGATTGACCCACAACAAGAGCATGAAAAAAGGGTTGTTTTAGAAACCATAGTGAGCCTACTGCCAAGGGAGAGAAATGCAATGTCTGTAAGCTTCCTATCCATGCTGCTTCGAGCTGCAATCTACCTCGAGACAACTGTTGCTTGCAGGCTTGACTTGGAGAAGAGGATGGCTTCACAGTTAGGCCAAGCTGTACTAGACGATCTGTTGATTCCTGCATATTCATTTACAGGGGACACGCTGTTCGATGTGGATACAGTGAAGCGGATCATGATGAACTACACTGAAAGCGAAGCGGAAGCTGCTGGGAAAATCAGGTTGGGTGGGTACCATGTTGGTGACGATGATTATGGCTCTCTTCAGCTGAGTGATATGGAGAGGGTTGGGAAGCTGATGGAGAATTACTTGGCTGAAATAGCCTCGGACCGGAATTTGGGCGTTTCGAAGTTCATTGGTCTTGCTGAACTTGTCCCTGAACAGTCGAGGATTGTGGAAGACGGGATATATCGAGCCATCGACATATACCTTAAGGTGCACTCCCTTAAACTCTCCTCAATGCACAGTTTCGTTTTCTGTTGTAGCAGTGATTTTTCAGAACATCTTATGGATTTTTCTACAACTAGAACCCGAGTTACATGGGTCAATTTTGTAGGGTGAATGATTCGGTCTCGCCGGCAACCACACCGAACCTGTTTGTGATATAAAAAAGAGTTGGACTGAACGAATGCTATTAAATTTTGATGTCCTGCCGTATGCTTAAATTAAAGGAGAAAAACCAATCAAATGCATCATGATAAGCTATAAGCTGAGTCTTCTGATAGATTGCAGCAGGTGGCTCCCTGGTTTGGTCTGGCTTCGCTATCACAATTAATGGTGTGTGCGTGAGAAATTTTCCTCGATAATAAAAAAAAAAATCGTTTATTATTTCTATACTCATTTAATTTCAAAGCGAGTTTTTCGCATAATTTATTGTGAGAATTATCATTATTAGACAACTTATTAAGAGAAAAGTTAGGTAACAAGTTTAAAGGAGATGAGGGTTAAATCAGGGAACAGTGCCTGTCCACTATACTGTGATCAGTAACTGTCCATAACTCCCCAGTCTAACGGCCACTCCAATTAATCGTTAACCGTTGTATAAGGCTTGATAAATACACGGAGGGGTAAAATAGTGAAGTAGTCGTCCATTCGACAATTCGAAAAAGCAAATTTGACAACCATGCATTTGACTATTTATCATAGTCCATGAAACCGTACCGGATATCGTACCGGAAAAGTCAGCGGTATAATATTTTGTGATAAAACCGTGGTTTAATTGTAGTTTAACCGTTAGACCGTTAAATACCACCTACCGGTTTAGCCTCCGATACTAGTATTTCGTGGTTGAACCGCTGGTACGGTACGGTTTCATGGACCATGCTATTTATGGAAGGTATCTAACTATACCCTCATTGAACTTTAATTGGATATTTCTCTTCCACTTTAAGTAAAAATTAAAAATAATTTTGCACGGAAAAGTTAGATTAAATGTATTCTGATATTCATTTTGATACACTTTTAATAAAAAAATAATATTTTTATTACCACTCAATATCATGTGGTACTGCTTGGTATGTATATAAGATTATACTACGTGGTAAGGAAGTGTACCATGGTGGTCCGAATATATAATAGTGTAGAATGATTGTATATATAATATTAGGATATACTAACTATCATTTAACATATTTCATCATCATCTATCAACAGTTACCATCCTATACAATGGTGGCATAAAGTGGTATATTTGGTCTTGAAATTATTTCCTCGAAAATTGTATATCCAGTAGATCACGATGAACTCTTTCCTTCTAGATTAAATTTTTCAAAATTTGAGTTAAAAACGAACATTGTACCAGGGTGGTATGAAGTAGTATATTTGGTCATGAAAACAAGGGTGGCATAGAGTGGTATATTTGGTCTTGAAATTATTTTCCTCGAAAATTGTATATCCAGTAGATCATGATGAACTCTTTCCTTCTACGCTAAATTTTTCAAAATTGGAGTTAAAAACAAACATGGTACCAGGTGGTACCAAGATGGTACTAGGGCTGGTATGAAGTAGTATATTTGGTCATGAAAATTTTCCTCCATAAATTTGTAAATCTAATAGATGACAATGAACTTTTTTATTTTTCGCATAAAGTTTCAAAATTCTAGTTAAAAATGAAGGTGATACTAGGGTGGTATGAAATTTTTTTCTCGAGTTAAAAAATTCAAATTTGAACAAAGAAAATAAAAGCCGATTAAGAAAACTAGAAAAAATATAAAAATATATTTTTTATCACTCCTTAGATCCGGGCTTATTTAAAAAAATGAGATTATATCTGTTTATGCAAGACAAAAATATCCCTTTCCACTCAATACCAATCCCAGTCGCAGGATTGCTTCATCTCAGATCAATACCTCTTATTAAGTTACTGACGATTGCATAACCCATTGTTATGCACTGTATCCTAAGGCTGAGTCCAATGGGTACCCCATTTATGAGGGAATCTGCAAAAATGAAGGAGGAGATGGTCCAATGGGAGGGTTTGGGCCTCCAAAAATGGAGGATTCTGCATATGGAACCCCAAATTTGGAGGTGGAAATGGGGGATCCCCCAAATATAAAGGCTCACCAAAGCCCGCCACGTGGCTTTTCTTTTTCTTTTTAAGATTTTAGAGGTTAATTGAGAGTTTAATTAGGGGATTAGTTAGGGATTTAATTATATCAATCATTTTCAAGTGTTGTGTGTAAACCCAAATTAGGTATATAATTTTTTGTCAAAAAAATTCAGAATCGAAATTTAACAAAATTCTATCGAAAAATTTGTATTAAAAAATAATGACGAACTATACAAAAATTAACATGAATAAATTATATTAAGGCTACGATAAATACATTTTTAAGTAAATGAAAAACTGGAAATATTAAGAACTCCAAATATGGAGTTTGTTGCATTGGAGCAAAAGAAGGGAAAATGAGGTTCAATCCTCAAATTTGAGGTTCAATACTCCCAAATTTGGGGTTTTGCATTGGACTTGGCCTAAGCCTATTAAAAATTCACATTCTTATCCAAAAGTGAATTTTTTTCACAATTTGTCACAATGAATTATCTGTTTTTTTATGAGAAATTATCTGCTTTTTTATGTTTTTTCTGTAGATTCTCTCTCTTTTTTTTTCGCCAGCCTGCCCAATTAGGCTTGTATCCATTTAGTAAAGCCCAAAGAAGGATCTTTTCAGTTTTGGGCCAAACAAAATAGAATGATTAAAATGTACCCCGTCGACCCGTTATGCATTTGCAAGCACAACCCAAAAAGGCTTATTCAACCTTATTTTTCTGATAATATAAATAAAATATAAATGCTGCCGAGGAAATCAAATCGAATATTCATAAAAAAAAAAAAAAAATCAAATCGAATCCGAGGGCGGTCCTGGTGACTATAGAGGGGTGCCTAGTCACTTGACTAAGTCCCCCAGTTCTTAGATCTGAACACACTAATTTGACTGTTAAAAAGTGGGAAGAACTTTTTAATTAATGACAATGATAGTTTGGGTATTATGAAAAATTATGAAGTATACAAACCGAACTTACAAACAGTACAAACCATACGGACAATACAAACTAGAGCGACAAAACATACAAACAGATTTACAAACAATATGAAACACACGAACTATGCAAACAATACAAACTAGACCGACAAACATTACAAAACATACTAACAGTACAAAATGCACTACTTACAATACAAAACAGTAAAATTGTATTACAAGTCAAATCAATGAATACAAAGTATACAAATCGCAATATAAAGTATACAAACTAAACAAACAAACATTATAAATTACAATGTATACAATTTAGTCATATAAACATTACAAATATAATAGATAAAATGACAAACTAAAATGATAAACGATACAAACCGGATTGATACAAAATCGCAAAACATACTTACAAACATTACAAAAATGTCCAACAAACATAACAAAAAAGACATTGTCGTCGGAATATCCCCTCCGCTGCCGAAAAATTCGTCAATGACGAAAAAGCTCTTTCTCTCTTTCTCGCCTGCTGGGAAAACTTAGCCATATGACTAAACGACCTCCTTAATCACCAGATCTTAGCCCAATTGAATCCGGGATGGGAGGCAGGCATAAATACTTACCACTATACGACAACTGTGCTTCCTATTTACCCTTACGTGTTTAATATCGTCTTTAAGTTATGTGGTTAAATCAATGTTTTGACAGGCTCATCCAGGGATAAGCGACATGGAGAGGAAGAAAGTGTGCAGCGTAATGGACTGCCAGAAACTCTCTCGGGAAGCCTGCGCTCACGCCGCGCAAAATGACAGGCTCCCTGTCCAAACCGTCGTTCAAGTCCTCTACTACGAGCAACAACGCCTTCGAGACACGATTGACAACGACAATAACACTCCCACTAGCAACGTTGCCGTCGACCAACATCCCACTCGTCCCAAGGTCCCGCTCCACTCCACCGACATCCATCCCGTCGTCGTCCCTCATCATCATCATCATTACAACGACGAGCTCTCCACATTGAAACGAGAGAACCAGGACCTGAAGATCGAGCTGCTCAAGATGAAGATGAAGCTCAAGGAAATCGAGAAATCGTCCAGTGCTACTAGTAGTGCCAGGCCAGCAGCTGGGAGTACTACTACTACTCCAATGGGGATCAGCAGATCGTCACCTTCTGCAGACAAGCCTCCTCTGCCTCCTCCTTCTAAGAAGTCGTTCATCAACTCGGTGTCGAAGAAGCTTGGGAAGATAAACCCTTTCGTGCGTCTTGATGGTGTGTCGCCATCCAAAGGTCGCACCAGGCCGCCTAAAGATCGACGCCATTCTGTATCTTGAGACCGCAACAACAACAAGAAGTCTGCGTGCATCATGTGTGTTTATTTAGTACATATTTGCGTCCGTTTCTGTATTGGTTTTTTTTCGTTTTTGGGTTACTATTATACCTCTCTTGTAATTTGTGTGTTATGATAATGTAAATAATATTTTTGTAATCATTGTGACCAGGACAAGAACAGATGAAACTAAATTCTTGTGATGGATGGATATTTTCATCATGAAGTAGTATGAAATTTTTTTTGCAACAAAAGTCTTTACACAAACAGAGAGACAGAACAAACTATAATTAAGCTCTAGCTAACATTTGCAACTACTAGAGGGAAAAGTAGGACAAAACAAAAGACTGCATTTCTGGTATTACATCAACAGAGGAACCACAATGCTTTCCTACTCACGGTAAGAGCCAACTCTGCATCTCTCAGTAACTTCCACTCTAGTCTTTTGCAAACTTCTCAACAGCTCCATCATATTGGAACTTTTATTCCCATAAAACCCTCTACACCGCTCTCTTCAAAGCTCACTTATCACCACGTTTCATACTAACATTTCCACTTTCTATGTCTTCTCCTTCTCACTTTCTCAGTGGCTTCCATCATTCCTGTATACCATCCAACATTGGCATGAAATTCCAGTGGCTTGCAAAACCCTAACCGCCATCTGCTGTTACAAACAACACCTAAAATAGAGACACTCAGGGCTGAGATGCTCCCACACTTCCTTTACAGAATACTTGCACATTACCTTCCCTTTTCCCACGATACACCCTCCTCTTGCTCTTGCATATGCCCCTCGATAAGTGTCTTAGCCTTGAAAACCTAATCCACCTTCTTCCTTAGGTAGAGTAAATTCAAGGCAACTTATAGTTTGTCTTTTTCTCTTTTGAAGACCAAAGGAACTATGAGTATAACATCTCAACTTCCTTCACAACTGTGCATGGGAGCTGAAATATGCTCATCCAGTACTAAGTAATGCTTGCTAGCATAGAAATGACTAGTTGGATCTATCCTGCATAGGACAATATTCTTGCTTTCCAATCCTGAATCCTCTTTGTAATCTTCTCTAACTAAACTTTGCAATCTTTTGAGGTGAGTAGCTGCTATTAGTGGTAATGCCAAATACCAAACTCGCAAGCTCCACATTTGAAATCCAGACTATTCAGCAATTTCCTTCCTCTCATCCTTCGTCATGTCTGCACAAAATACTTCATTTTTCTCAGGGGTACACTTCAACCCAAAAACATTTTTGTGCTTTGAAACCTCCAGTCAGATCCCCACTGAAATATACTTGAAAATTTGCACTAGATAGATAAGTGTTAATCCAGATCCAGTTAACTTTTTTTTTTTTTTGGGAACCCCATTGCTGCCATGGTATCTAGAAGGAAAAAACAGTTTACACTATTAAACGTTTTCATAATATTAACATTTACAACACATCTTCCTGAAACTGATCTCCTATTATAACACACGAGCATTTCATTTGCAAGAAGGATCTTAACATTTACTAATCTTCCTTTGATTAAAACAAAGTGGTTCGTACTAATTAAGGGTGGAAATCGGTAAGGTATCGGTATCGTTATCCCAATACCAAATACCAAAATCTCGAATACTGAATTACACTCTAAAATCAATCTCAATCTCAATCCTTAAATAATTTCGGTATCCCAATTGGTACTTCGGTATCCCAATTCGTATTATCGAATACGAAACCTTTACAATTAATAATTAAATATATAAATTAGTTTTGATTGTTTAATTTGGGGCAAAGAGACTAAGTAAAGAGTTTTGAGTTTGCCTAAAGCTAGGATATGGATTAGGAGAATGGAGGAGATGTAACTTCTCAAATTCTTGTCATTGGTAATTTTTAATTTGACGAATTGGAGGCCGAGAGACGACTAATACTGGTGTTTGCTTTTGGTGTTATGAAAATAACAAGAGATTAGGTGAGGTATGAAAGTGACTTAAACTTGGAAAGTATAAATTGAGATGGATGGGGGCTTCTAAGTTGGGAAATAGTGAGGAATGACCAAATGTTGCGTGTTATATTTCATTAATTTTTATATTTTTTGTATTTCTCGGTATTATGGTATATACCGATCTCAATCCCGTTATCCCGAATACCGAATAGCACTATAAAATGAATCCCAATCCCAATCCCTAAAAAATAAGCTGGTATTCGGCAATACCAAATAATGATAAATTCGGTACGGTATTCAATATATCCCAAATACTTGTATCAAATTTGTAGCCCTAGTACTAATAATGGCAGGAAGCACATTATTGATTCTATTGGACATAATGTTTTAGACACATTTGTAGAGTGGGTTACAACTTGCTATGGTTCTGAAATTTTTCATTATATATGCATTTGGGACTTTAGGGATGAGTGTGAGGATATTTGAGTTTACCTTTGTAAGCGTGTGTCCCGTGGTAAAATTCATGAACTCCTTTGATAATATTAGATCCCAACACTTCCAATTTTCTTAAAGAATTCTGGAAGGAAACCATCTGGTCCAGACAATTTCTCCTTTTTCGTTAAAAAAATCACCCTCCCGACATCCTCACAATGAATGCAGTCAAAATCGCGATTTAAAACTTAAAATCTTACGATATTACGCTTCTAGGTCACCAAAACTCCTTCGTTTCATATAAAATCGGACTAAATTGCACTTTAAAGCTTAAAAGCTTACGTTTTTACGCTTCTAGTTTACCAAAACGCTTTACGCTTTTATGCTTCTAATTCACTAAATGGGTATTCTGTTCATGAAATTAATTATAGAAAGTTTATTTTAAAGGTAAATCACCAATAATATGTTACATTTGAGATTAAAAGATAAATACCAGGTACTTTGATGCATTCTTAGCTTCAATAGAGTAATCTAATTCATCAACTAGACCCTTCCCAAATTCATTAGCATAGAGGAGAAGATGACTTATTGTTAAGATCTATGTTTATGAACACTTATTGTTAAGATGTTATGAGTTGCTCTACTTTAGACAAGAATTGCAGGTATTTATTAACTTATCTAAATTTTCTGCACTCATATTTTACATAGTATATGTCGTACTTAGCACATTTTTTGCTATTTTATAGTATGCGTAAAAAACTTACGCTTATACCGTTATACGCTTTGATTCTACACTTTACGATTGTACCCATTTTCCGCTTCTAGCTAGAATCGCACTTTTCACTGTATTGCTCACTACTGAGTGGTGCATACAAGTTATTGGAGTCTTCAGGTAAATTTTCAATAGTAAAGCCTGAATTCTGATTGTGTTTTATTTTTTGTTATTTTGAAATTGACAACTCGACAATTTAATAGTCAAGTGTTCGAGTTGACTGCCACCTAGGATAAAGATAACAGAGTTGGATAAAGAGTGCCTACGGGTAACATAAATGTGCAATGTTGATGGCGAAAATAGGAAAAGTTTTCGAGTGACAGACGTGAAACAAACTTATAATATGAGTCATCACACTTTAAATTCACCCTTTTCTGGTCCAATGACTAAGCAACTTCTAAAGTTTGAAAATTTTCCTCATGTAGTTTTGTGCTTAAGGTGTGTCAAAGCAGGAAAAGACGAGTTTTATGTGGTATGGTTTGAGATATGTGGAACATTGAACAATAAATGTTTCTCACCACCATAGAGACCTGGTTCCCATGTCCTAGACCCTTACCAAGTTACAACCCAATCAAAAGTGGTGACCCGATTTTAGAGATTCAGTTGCACTGCAAAGTATTTAGAAGTATAAAGTGATCATCTTTATATTCTAAATCCCGGTGAGGACCTAGGTTACTTGACATCTTATTTTGTGTGACTTAATATCTGTGTTTGGACGGCAAGGGGTACCGGCTCATTAATCTTGTTCGCGACCGTTTCTTTAAGTTTAATGAGGAGTTTTCACTGTCATAAACTTGTTGTCCGTGTTTGAGTGTCGTCTATGGTGACTGTTGGTTGCTAGTGTCTCTCTCATGTTGCTTCAGTTTGTACCATAAATCAATTTTTACAAAATATATATATATATATATAGAGGTACAAACGCTAAAGGTACAAGTTCCGTTTGTACCATATAAAAATTTTCTTAATCCAAAAGTGATTTCATTAACAAGTAATAAACCAGATAAACTTAGAACTTTTATTTGTTAAGTTAGATCTGATAAACCCCAGTATTGTATTTGAATAAAATGCATCCAACCAAACCCCCCGAAAATCCGCTCCTATCTCATCCCATGAATCATACAAAATTTAAACATTCCGCGAGACCAAACTAGCATTACATCATAATTATCATTCATATAAACACGTAACAACAGAAGAAGGGGGAAAAAAAATCAAATCAAATATGCCGAAGTAGCTTACAAATAGCGGAGATAGTGACTAATGACGCCACTTTGGATCCTACCTGCACCAGCTCGCTCCGTGACACACAACAAAACAGTGCAAGCCCACCACCCACAGAACAGATAAACCATTATTTTTCTACTTTCTGCAGACAACGGATTTGAGTTACTGTGCACTGTTCAGAATAATAAAAGGGTTTAAAGTTGAGACAAAATTAAGCAATCTCAAGATTAGAGAGCCCTGCAACTAATTTCTCTAGATTTGAGGACACAGCATGCAGTTTGGTCCAGGCAGTGCATCATCTACTATCTTATCTGAACTTCGTTTCAGTGAAGGAAAAAGTGGGAAAAGGAAAAAGATAGAAGAACACCATCTTTCTTTCTTTCTTTCTTTCTTTCTTATCTCAAGTTAGTGACAGACTTTTCCGGGTAAAGTGGAGGGAAAGAGGTCAAATAAGGGACAGGCGTGCACTAGTGGGCAATGCATGCCCTAAATAATAATGCACTTCCCAACAGCTCACATTTGCTTACATGTACCACCACTAGTTTAGTATATAATACCAATAATGCTGGCTGCTGCTATTCGATGAATGTATGTTTCATGAGACAGATCACTTTATGCAACAATCTCTCTGAAAAGCCAGAGTACCCTTTTCTTCTTCTACTTCTTTTCATTTGTTTCAGGGGGAATCTATTGTTCATCCGGTGGCCGACAAACTAATATATACCAGCTCTGCTTCAATGGCGGAAAGGGTGGGGTTAGTAAGGGGGAAAAAAAAAGATTCCTTCGTTTTCCATGGTGTCATCAAAACAGGACTTCTTTCGGGTTCTGTCTATTATGGTCATGGGCTTGATGGTTCAGACTTTTTTCAAGGTGGGGAAAAGCAGAAAGCAATAACCTTGGATTTACCAATACCAGAGTAGAGTTTCCTTAGGAATAAAGGAAACCCACAAGTTTGGTTCCAGAAACTGGACAGAAATAATAGTAGGAAATTTGCAGAAAGATCTTGTAAAAAGACTTCCCAGATTGAGAAAAGAAGAAAGATTTGGGTTTCATATTAAAATTGGGTATCTCCCTCTATCCACCCATTGACTTGTCCAGAATAAGATCTTCCCCACCTTCTTTACTTCTTTTGTAGCTTCTGTTAACAGCCATAAACTCACATCGGATTTTTCAGGGAATTCATTTCGGCTGAATTAATACATTTATGTTCGAGAATTAACTATTTCTTACAAGTTTGAGTTGTTGAGAGAAACTTAAATTATGGTAACATTAACACGAAAACGTTTTTTTTTTCTTGCATAAATTTTGATGCTGTTTGTTTCTGCAATATTGACATCAACAAGCAAAGAGTGGTGACAGAGAGAGTTAAAACTTTAGATTCCCACCCTGAAAATCAGCAAAGAGGGAAGTAGTCAATTGAGAAACCTGGAGGTAGCTAACTAAGACTAGTTGATTTGAGAGCTCAAAAACAAAGCAGTCAGTCATCTTTACACCAAAGCCTGACATATCCTTCCTGAAACCCTTCCATCTAGCCATGAAAAAGGAAAAGTTAACCATGGAAAAGAAAACCAGAAGAAGAAAAAAAACCCCATCTTTCCAGACTACCATCCAATTCACAAGCTGACATGATACTTTATTTGTTATTTCAAGTCATTTTGAGGCTGAGAACCTGGTAAAGCCAGGGAGGCTGCTGCTGCTGCTGCTTTAATCTACTATCCTGTTGTTGCCTTGTCAGCTGTTCATTATTATCAACATTGCTATTCTGCTTCTGCTTCTTCATCTTCGTCATCCCATTTTCCGGATCATCTACTCTGCTGCTGCCTAATTTATTGCTCCTCCTGTTAATACGACTCGACCCGGTTGAAGATGAAGACAGGCTTCCACCTCCTGATTCTGAAGTCAACGCTGTCTCCTCTTGAAATAGTTTCTTCCTCCTTGAACAGTAACTAGCTGGCCCCAGTGTTAGCTCAATCTCACACTCCTCCATGACAACTGTTCCGTTCCTTTCTTCTTCAACATGATCCCCGTTGGACTCTGCGAATTCCTCTGCAGCTGGTTTTCTTTCCAAGTCCAGCTTCACTGCTAACTTGTCATGATGATGATGATGATGATGATGATGATGATGATGATTAGAAGGAGGAGCAGCAACTACAATGTTGCTGACATTGTTGCTCCTGGAGTTGAAACTGAATCCATTATTCCACAACTCCTGGTGCTTATTGGAGGGAATCTGATGGTGGTTGTTGTTGGTGTTCTTGTTGGTTTTGCCAATGCTTCTCATCATTAGTTTCTGGATCCTGTACAGCCTGTGGAGTTCATATACCTGCAAGAAGAACAACAATCAACACAGATAACATAAATATATCAATTTCTCTAATACTAAATTGAAAACATTCATACAGATTATCTAAACTCCAGAACTTGGACAGTGAAAAGAATTGAAGGAGGGTTACCTGTTCTTTGAATGTTTCTTCATGCTTTAGCATGGCTAGTCTCATGTATTCCTTGTCATAAGGCTTCAGAACTCTCTCCATTTTTTGAGGCAGTGCAAGTGGCAGAACAAAGGAAAAGTAAAGAAAGAAAAGAATATCCTTCTCCTCTAGGTTTTCTGGTTTAGAGATTATTATCAGATGATCTGGATCCACATGTGTGTGGCAAAAACAGACAGAGCAACTGTTTTGTTGACTTTTCTGGCACCTGAATATGAAGGCCAGAGAGACACAGGTAAGTTTTAACTTGTATCTGGGGTGGGAAGGAATGAAAAAGAAATATCTCCAGAAATAGCAGCATGCCATGTACATATTTCCATGACACAGTTTGAAAAGAAAAAAAGAAAAAAAATATCAAAGCACAAGTACTATGATTTTTTGTCTGTTAGTTGGACAATTGCTTATGAGTTATTCCTTTCAAAATCCAGTTGGGCCACATTCATCATTCAATTCCCCTTCATTTGCTAGACAAAAACATCAATGAAAAGAAACCCAAAAGAGGGTTGTGCTGATTGGTGGAATTAACTTTTTGACTTACACATGTGATAATTAGGAGGGGAAATCCCCAACACCAATCAACAAATAATGGATCAACTTCTCCAAGAAAGAAAAGCTCTTCCCTTTTTTCTTATCAGATGGAAGGAACCACATGACTCCATCCATCCATATACACATGGGATTTTGTCATTGGATGGATCCAAGAAAATTGTCAACCCACATGTAGTTAATTAAACATGGGGGAATTTATTAAGCATAGTTTCAGGGTAATTAAGAAAATGTTCCATCTTGCTTTTGAAGTGAACTCATCCTATTACACTACTTCTGATCCTAACAAACAGTAAACACACTTAAAGTGACTATTGATGAGGTTGAAGCTAAAGGAAGACTTCAATTATGGTTTCCAAAGAAAGTTGGGACTTCTGAAACATTACAAAAGATGATAGTTCAAAAAAAAAGGAAGTGACCAGAAGGGAACTGCACAATCTGCATATTAAACATATATATTCTTCTTCCTAGTCTGTCTTAATCATGCAAGATGGGGGTGGAAAGGTGGTGACTAAAGACAAAGACAAATTAAGAGTGAAGGATATAGCTCACCTGGCTTTCAAATGATGAAGATGAAGGATCAGCTGGTATGAGAAGATGAAAGAGGGAGGAGGTCTTGTTGCTTGCTTGTGATTCTGATTGTGAAGGAAGAACAACTTTTTTGCAGGGAGGGGGGAAAAAGCCAACTGTTGGGGTCTTGTTGTTTTTATTGTTGTTTTTGCCCCAAGAGGAATACAAGAAGAAAGGAGGGAGAGAGAGAGAGAGAGAGAGAGAGAGAGAGAGAGAGAGAGAGCCACACAGTACTAGAGAGGGAGAGGGAAAAAAAGATTTGAAGTTTGTTTGGTATGGGGAAAGAAAGCCTTTGCCTCCACATTCTCCATCAGTATATACTCAACTAGATTGCCATAAAATATACAGATTTTGTTTTCCATTTTCCCTTTTTCTTTTGGTACAAAATACTAGATAATTATAATAAGCTTGCTCTCTCTCTCTCACATTCAGCAGAAGCAGATCATGCCATGAAGAGGAATTTAAGATTGTTTTAGTAAAATTAAATAGTAAACACAGAAATCAAAGTGGGGGGAAGCTGTGTCAGGCTGGCCAATAAGCAAGCTAGGCATTGTCTGCCTAGCTAGGGTTTGGAATTTGGATCCATGGAGGCATGCCCACAAATCCCACTGCATTTGCCCAATCCCATTGTGAAACATTACATTACATTACATTACATTACATTACAGGCAGATCAGATCAGATGAGATGCCTCTCTCAAACACACATTATTCAAAATCATGCAAAAATATATACATATTTCCTTGTTTTTTCTAAACAACCATATTTAATTTGAAAAAATATTCCTCTATTCATATGCAAACATTGTGAGTCATTGTTTGGGATCACAAGAAGGGAGTGGTGTGCCAGCTCTAATTAGTAATATAGTTGTGGGAATATTTTGGTTGGGGCTTTACAACAATGATGAGAGATAGAACAGCTTAGCCATGAACCACATGCCATACAAAGTGGGGAAAATATTCATATATTTATTTCTATATGTAATAATATTAATCATCATTAGCGGAAGAGACAGATTTCATTTTCTTAGGATTAATCACTCTGCCTGCTCTTTGTAGTATGCCTCGAAAAAAATGCTCGTTTATAACTAAATATACCATGGTAACCCAAGATCATAGGAGGATTGTTCACGAAAAAAGCGAATTTATAGAATTATCCACCCTTATAACTTTTGTATTATAGCTAGTGTACGCGTTTGCGGGTAGAATTTGCCAGAAATGTCAAATTATCAGTCAATGTATTTATCAATTTTGATACATAATTGAATTTTTTGCAGCTCACCTTAGTTATAATTATTCGAATTGTTAGAAAAAGTATTTATCCTTCTCTTACAAAACTTCAGTGGAAACTAATTAATTCAGATTTTATAATTGTACTAAAGAAACTATAACTGAGTGGGCAGTAAGTATATCTTTTTGGTGGATTGGAAATCTACCTCTAAATACTCGAAGCTGATTATTTAAGGGTGGCAGATCGTGGGCTCCCGGCCGACACGTTGATCTCAGCCGTACGTTTAGTAGGCTCCGTTATATTAATAATATCAACTTCTCTGCCCGTTGCCTCCAAAACTAAGCTAACTTGTACAGATTCTTCTACGAAATATATCAATGAAAAATCAGTGAACAAGACAGACTCGATTTAGAATAAAAAAGAAAAATAAATTAAAACAATGGCCACGAGATCTCAAATCTGATACACAGAATAGAGCCTCCTTCGCGAGTTCAAAATATTTTTGGTTCTAATAATTTTCCAATTTTATAATACGAATTTGTTAATTATATCATCTCTCTATGTAGTGCAGGGATATTTAAGATTAACAATTCAGAGGATTGGCCTGTAGTGCTCGGGGAAACACGTTAAACAAATGCCACCATATAACTTTTTTCTAACCAAAATTACTACTTTATATTTTGGGTAAATTGTAAGTTTGGTCAAATGAATTTACTAAAAAGGTTTATATGGTTGTTAAAAATTTATAATTTCATTTTCATTCATGATCATTAAAATTAGTTAAACATTTCAAGTTTAATCATTCTCCGTCCAACTCCATTAAATTTGGCTGATGTGGCAATCAAATCTCATAGTTGACTGTTAAGTGTGTGACTTTGAATGATGAATTTGCATATTTCATATCTAATAGTATATTTATTTATGATAACGACTAGCGTACTGCTAATATATATTATTCCAAGTGATATGGTTATTGGATGACTTTCATTGTAGTTCGACAAATAAAAATTGTCAATTGCCATTTTGTAATTTGTTGATCTCCGGGTTTGAGTTTAAAGAATATATATATTCATGGTCTAAGTAACAAAACTCAACGGGAGTACGATAAGGTAAGCGTACACCTAACATACGCTAGTTTGATGCACTCACTTTTTTTTTCACTCAATGCACTCACCTCATAACCGTCATTTTGGGTAGGCGATTCACGTGAAAACGATGTCAATCGTCACTTGTGATACTATGGATAAGAAAGCAAATGAATTTATACAAAATTATGCAAGATTTACTTTAATTTTAATGATTTAGGGTTTAGGAATTTAGGTTTAGGGGTTAGGTTTACAATTTGGGGTTTAGGGTTGAGATTCAAATTGAAGGTTTAGAACTTAGGATATCCATTGATTAATTGTGAATTTGTGATCCTATGTTGATTCATCATATTAGACTAATGCTATCAAATAAATTAAAAATCGATGTCTTATGACTACTTTTAGAGTTGAATGCACCAAAAAGGTGAGTACACCGATGTAGCCACCATAACGATGTCAATTATCACTTGTGATATGATTAACAAGAAAATGATTGAATTTGCACAAAAATAATTCATAATTTACTTTGATTTGAAAGTCTTCGAGTTTAGGGATTTAGGGTTAGGTTTAGGATACATAATTTGGAGTTTTGAGTTTGTGTTCAAAATTGAAGGCCATGCTTTTGATTTTAGGATTTATAATTTAGGGTTTAGGATTTAGAGTTGGAATTAATCGAACCAAGTCCACCAACCTTCGGCCAGTTCAAGTCTAGATAGTGGTGTTGTCAGGAATTCATCCAAGGCAGATCCAACATGGAGAAAGGAACATAACATAAGTTTATGTTGTTTTTCATATTCTGAAATTTTCTAAAATATATTTACCGTGCAAATTATGGAGAACATCATTCTTAATATACCCCACCAAAAAATCATTCATCGTTTTATCACTTTCTAATTTTGAAGTGTTTCTTCACATTGTTCATTGCAGTAAGTGTCAACACTTACAATTTCAACTTGTAATAACAAAAATCCTTAAGTTTTGAGTTATTGTTCATATTAAACTCAATCCAAAGTTACATAAATATTTACTACTATATATTTTGGAGCCAAGGTGGTGCAAATGACCTACCTTGGTCTCAAAGGGCTTCACTACTGGATCTAGATATCATTTTCTTACACAAGTATGTCATAGCTTTGATTATACTCAACGTTCGATAGAACATCAATCCATATATATATATATATGGTGCCTTCTACGGTACCCCGGGTAAAATCTGGGGTACCGTATACCTTGAGTATGGAAACGGTATCTAGACCTCGAATTAGCAGGATTTTTGGGTCTGATACTATACCCTAACCCTTAATGAGTGAACCCTGGGTCCTAATTATCTAAATCATAATCTATAAACCCTAAGATGGTGCATTCCTTTTTGTGCCTATATTTGGACGAATCATAACCGTCGATTATTGTTTCTAATTAAATTGATCTTGGAGTATAAGATTAGGAGAATTAAGACCTAGATTTTGATCTTTAAGGGTTAGAGTATAGTATCATGTCCGAAAGATCGGTCAATTCAAGGTCTAGATAGTGTTTTCATACTCAAGGTATGCGGTACCCCGAATTTTGTCCAGGGTACCGTAGAACTCGCCATATATATATATATATATTGAACTTTCTTCATACGAACATTATCATATATACTTTTTGGACTTTGCTACGGTGACTTGCAAGTCACCGTAACTTGTACATTTCGGTCGACCGAAAGTTAAGAATGGTAGACCGAATCTACCGATCCAGTTTTGTGACTGTCAACAACTCGGTTGACCTTGTACATCAAATGATCGACCTCTTTAGAAAGCGAACAACACAAAAGGTCGACCTCATATGTTAAAACGGCCGACCTTATGCATTAAAAGGACGACCTCATTTTTGAAAAGTCAACCTCTATCGCATTAATTAATCAATATGAAACTCGGACTTATTTCCGAAAACAGTAGAAAATGTCGACTTGTGAATTACGTGGTCGACCGAATCTACACTGTATTTGTATTGAATAAGGATTCCAACACTAGAAAGGTAACCCTAACTTGTATGCCACTTAATTCGCCCTAAGCTCGTCCTAAATATCTATAAACAAGAATATATGTCACAGTGACCGCCACTCAAACACTGGATTTGGTTTTTTTAGGATTAGAGTTTTGATGTAAAATCACAAAACTTCGAAAGTTATCGGCTAATTTTCCTATAAGCGGTCGACCTCTCCCAGCATGCGGTCGACCACGAAACCAACACTTTTGATCTACGTTTCACGTCAAGGATGATAGATGAATGGATAGGAGTTTAGTCTTCTATTTGGTCGATCTGTTACTGTAATTGGTCGAACATTTCGGTAATGACTGTCATCAAGTGGTCGACCTCCTTTTATTTACAAGCCACCATTTTGCTTCTGACTACACTTAAAGGTCAACCAATTTTTTAGTGTGGTCGACCATTTAAGTATCAACTAACTTAAAACGTTCGACCACTATATGTTAATGGTCAATCGTGTTTTTCCATCAGAGTGACCACGATAGTGAATTCAGTCGACCGAAATTACGCATAGATCGACCGAATTGTGCACGTTACGGTGACTTGCAAGTAAAATGAAATAATCATTTACTCATTTGTTGACAAATGTTTTGTACTATAGGAAAGAAAAACAAGTAAAATGAAATAATCATTTACTCATTTGTTCGATGTTTTGTTGGGTTGGTGAGGTGGGATATGAGTAGTACTGGTTCATCTCAGATGGGGGGAGAGAGAGAGACGACCCAACAAAATGATTGTAGCAAAGCTTAAATGCCCATGTGATGAGTACCATGGAAAATAGTTGTTTTCAATTTTCATTAATTAATTTCCTATCTTTATGTCGAATTGATTAAAGGAGAATCGGATCACGTCAGGAGCAAGACCAATAATTAAACTAAACCCCAATTTAGTTAATCATACAAAAATATTAATATCACCGGCTACATCTTGAAAAAAAAAACAAAAAT